CTTATATTTGTACCACAGCGTCGCTTTATTGGTATACTGCTCTCTTAATAACAATAAGTAAACTACAGCAAACAACATTAAATTTTATATATATATATATATATATATATATATATAATAAAATTGTTCACTTATAGGTACCTCCAAAGATTCACTAAAGAATGAATATTCATAATGAAAAAAATGCCCCCAAATTAATAAAAAGTTTTATGGTCAAAATTGTTATTATTAAGAGAAAAGACTGAAGGATTTTTTTAAAATCTATTTTCTAATTCTTTTTAGAACCTTCGAAATTTTAGTTAAGAATGTTGTTTTTCTCGTGTCAACGAGTAACCATTAGTATAGGAAATTTTAGCATCTTTTTCCAGGTGAAAAAAAAATCACATAGATTTGGAAATTATTGTAAAAATCAGATGATAGATTTTAGTGAAACTTTCAGGAATTATTAAAAAATGAATGAAATTATTTTAGAAAGTTTTTTTTTTTTTAATCTTGGTACGAATAATTTTTTTTTATATGTTACTCCACACAATTTTATGAAAGCTCAAGAAATTCATTTTTATAGAGATTAATGCTTATATTAGCTATAAGGACAAGTCCTTGGAGAATTTAAATTAAATACTTTTTTTTTGTCAAATTACAGAAAATCTGCTCTGAATCGTAAAATAAAATGTACAATAAAATTTAAGACATCGTTTAATTAAAAAAGGCTTGTAATTGCTTTTATGAATAAGATCTATTATAGATACTATTGTCTTAAAAAACATTTTGATGAATAATAAATTTTTACAAGAATTGTTTTCATTTTTTTAAATCTTTTAAAATTCTGTATTAATTTGTAGCAGTTAGGTGATAGTGTTATTAAGTAAAAACTATATTTATTAGTCATAAACAGAAAAGTTTACAATTCAACGACTCACGGTATTTTAAAAAGAATTTTGAATTTATTTTATGTGTATAAACGTGCCGATTTTTGTAAATATTTACATCTATACACGACATTATCAGAAAATAAGAGCTGTAACTATAGTAAATTAAAAAATTAGTGGTAATTTTTTTAACATTTCCTCAACAAACGTCTTTGTAGGTAAGATTATTTATTTCGTAAAAAATACACAATTGTGGCACAAGGCCGAAGGACTTCATTAGCTATCCTAGTCAATCAGAATTACGATCCATTCATTGATTATAATATGCTCATTCATCACAAGAACTCGTCCATCACCATTCAATCCTACATATACCAAAATACCGCATATTCACAGGGAACCTACTCCCATGATGTAAAAATTTTATTTCATTTTTCATAAAGTCCGTTGTTTATATGAAAATTTCATGATTCATTAAATGATGGGGTGGGAGGATGAAACCAGAAAAGAAACTAAAAAATAAAACACGAAGATAAAACTAATACAAAACAATGTTAGTAAGACCCGTCCATCCCTCAAAATAATAAGAGTGGCCGCTGTATTCTGTCGATAGACAGAATCAAGAAGCACACTTACTAACGGAATGAGATGGGTAAAAATAAATGACGGAAAGGGGAAAATCAAAAGCTTGACCCAGTCGGAATGAAAAATGGGGGACTAAAACAAATTAGGGGAGGTTAGGAATCTCAAAATGGGTCCTAACAAAAGACAATGCCGGAAACAACACTTATTCACATTAACTAGGAAAACATAGTATTGTCTAACTTAACTAGGTGAGGGTTTACAGGAAACCGCCCCTGGTTAAGTTAGACAATACTAGGTTTTCATAGGTAAGACTATAAAGCCAATGTATCTAAAATTCAAAATATTAGACTATTTATAATTTTTGCTAAATTTTAAAGATTACTGTGTAGTTAAAAATATATATAAAAATAGGCGTTGACGTTGTATTCGTTAAATAATTTTTACAGTTATGTGCCCTTTACTTAATACCAAACGTCAAATAAATGTATCAAAACCCCATAAAAGTACCTACCTCAGTGTTAAAAAAAAAAAAAAAAAAAGTGTTTTTCTGCGATGGTTTAAACTAAAACTAGCATTATCTTTTAAATACAGATTAAAACAACTTTAAATCAATTAATCTCCTCAAATAAAGTTTTAGAAAAGTTTATTTTATTTTTTAATGTTTTTTAATAAAGAGAATTGTGTTTATAGATTTGTCATTATAGACGATTTTAAAGACTTCAAAAAATCATTTCAATTTAAAAATACAGAAATGTATTTTGCTTATTGTAAATATTAAATTTAATCTATTAGCTTGGAATTAAAACCAAAATAAAACCTTCAAGAGCTAATTTAAAATCCATTTTAAACCTTGGTATCGCTTTTTTTTTTTCTTTTTTTGTTAGGGTATACATCTTCGTGCTTAGAGTTTCAAAACTATTTTAGCGCTCTTACCTGTCAGTTATTGAGCTCTGGAGCATATATCCATTGAGAGAGATTTCCTTCACCATACGAGGCCAGATTTATGTAAGTGGGTCAGGTAGAGAAATTTTCTGTACTCCTAGCATAATTCAGAATAATATCCAAATTGTATACAAAGACAAAACTAATATCGGAGATCCTTTTTCAAATGCTTATAATGATGCAGAAATAAATGTGAAGCAAATGCGTACAATATTCCATGAAGTTTAGGTATCTTCACTAATTCGCTAAAAAAAGAGCATACCCCGATGAAAAAAAAAAAAAAAAAAAAAAAGACTCCAAACTTCATAAACATTTAAAATATAAAAATTACGTTATTATTAAGAAGAAAGACCAAGGTATTTTTTTTTATATTTTTTACCTTTCAAGCACGTTCGAAATTTTAGTTTAAAATATTTTTTAGTCAGCAAAATTGCAATAAAATCAATCATGTCCACAATTTTTGACAATTTTGTAAACAAAAGTGAAATTCTCCGTTCAAAAATCTTATAAAAATCAGTAACTTTTTTTTCAAAAGTTATTTGAGGAAAATTAGAAAATTTAAAGTTTACTTAAATGTAATTGGAAACAAACATTACTTAATTTTTTATCAGAAAAAAATTGTTGGAAATAAGAATCGGAGTGATTGCTTTTGGAGGTGTGAATTAATGTATCGACAATTAACGTCAGGGGAATTTATCGGACGGAAGGACAGAAGTGACGGTATTTTCGAATTTTAAAAAATTAAATACTTTCAAAAGTTTAATATTTTATTGATTTTTTTTTTTTTAAATGAAGGTATATCCAAACCCTGCACTGTTTCCGTCCCTAAAATTGAATCTAAACAAGAAAATAATTAATAATTGCAGTAGGCCTCGCTTCGATCGATTTTTCCGGACTAAAAAAAAAAAACATGATTTTAAACGACAATTTTGAACGTGCTAGGAATGATTAAAAGATGTAAAAAAATAATCATAAAATACTTTGATTTTTCCTCTTTATAATAACAAACATTTAGACAATAACAAATTATTTTAAGGTCGTTTTTATCATACTATGCTCATTTTCCCAGCAATTTCACCCTAGTACCTAATATATATAAGAAAGTTTTACCATTTTTAAATTTTCCCCCTCAATTAAGTCACACTTCGGAGTTACATAATATATAGTTAACATTCTTTCAGTTGAAACAGCGAATTAATTTTATTTTGATGTATACATGAAATAATTAAAAAACGTGTTCAAAAATTTAAAGAAATAATAATTAAACGATATTAAAAACTTTCTCTTTTTTTATGCCTTGTCCTTTCTGGATATAGGAATCTTTGGAGAATCATGATCGCCTTTCTTTTATCATCTCTGAATTACTACAGAAAGATAATGTAGTGGTTTCCTGTTGCATGGGTTGAAATTCAGAATTGTCCTCCTTTTAGCCGAAGAACTATCCAAGCACATTCTACTCTGCTATTTAATCCAGTCCTGGTAGAAGAGATGGATTCGTGTCTTTCCCAACGGCATTAGCGCGAAAGTGAATGCAAAAAACATGGACGGAACTTGAATCCGCCTCGCCGATAACTGTTACGCTACCCGCACGTCCTAAACTTACTCATATTAGCTTGAAATTATATATGTGCAGCAAGGGTAAATAGAAGTATTTTGGCAGCAATGGAAACATGCTAAAATTTAAAAAAAAAAAAAAAGTTTTGTAAAACATTGCGGTAGAGAATTTTTTTTAGTTTTTCAGTCTCCAATCACCTTCATGCAAACAAATTTAAAACAAACTTAATGTATTGCAATATAAAACTCAGTTATTAAGTTGAAAAATATTACTTCCAGATAGAAATTTGCAAGTTAATTTTTACGTTCATTTTCTACTATGGAAATCAGATTTCATTTTTTTCTTTCCCCACAGGGAAACAAAACTAAAAAATTAATAAGATTGTTAAATCGTTCTATGACGGTCAATACAAATAATTCGCTATAACCTTTTGAGAATATTGAACTGAACCCTTTATTTAATCTACGTGAGTAGTTATTTAAAAAAAGCGTAGCTTAGATGTGGCACAAGGCCGAAAGTATGGGGTACCAAGTGAGGATCGAACTCAGTAGTAACTGTTTTAGCGAGACAAGCTTGTTGACCATTACGCCGCCTCGGGGTGCCCAATCTACATGAGTATATTTTTCTCATCCTGCTGTATATATCTAAGGTATATATTGTTTTTATTTTAGTACTTCTCAATTATTGCTCATCCTGTTTCTACTGAGTTTGTTTTATCTACTAGAGCCAGGGATTGAGCTCACACTATCACCAAATACAAACCAACGCTTTAATTCAATAGGCTATTGTCTCGTTTAAGATAGAACGAGCAATAACTGGGTAGTAAGTACTAAAATAAAAACGATAGACAGCAGATGAAGAATAATTTATCAATGTGGAATAGCTTAAACATTAGATGAGAAAAATATTCTGATCGTAATGTTAACTCATCCTAGAATTTCAAACAGAAACAGCCATTTTAAATAGGGTGATCGATTATTTTTTACGGATTATCAACCCTTTGCGGGTTATTTAAAGCTTAAACAAATTTCGGTTTTTAGGAAGTTACTTACAGTATCCGGTGTTTCCAAGCGGTCACCCCCATCTAAGTACTGACTGGGTTCAACACTGCTTCACTTCGGTGAACGAATGCAAACCGGTGTTTTCAGTGTGTGGGTAATTGAACATTTTTTTTTTTAATTTTTATATTTTTCCATAGTTAAATTAGTAAGGAATACTTGGCTTAAAAGTGGATTTCCTGATCTTAAAAAGGAAATACACTCGATTCCTGTCGGAAGACAGAGTTTCTTTTATAGAACTTCTCGATCTCTAGGTACGTAGACGTTAATTTCACTGTTTAAAAACAAATCAGAAGTGTATAATCAAATGTGTGGAAAAAATTATATTTATAGTAATTAACGTCAAACCTATCTGCTTATTGACAATAGTTTAAAATTCAGTATTAAAAATAATTTTAAAAATGTAATATTTTAAAAACTCGGCTACAAGTTTAGCATTTTGTATGAATTGGAAAAATCTGAAAAAATAATGAAACACATGCACTGGTCGCATATAATAAAAGACTGCTCAGATATTTTAGACAACATTTTTTCTGCAAGTCGAAATAATTGCAATTATTATATTAATACTTCTACTGTTGTTGACATACCTTGCGTTTTTACGAAACTTATATTACCTGTTGTCACTCTCTCTCTCTAAATCTCACACGCACACATATTTATTGACATTTGGAAAAACTTTCATGAAAGCACGTTTCGAAAATAATATCCGATAATGCATGTCGCCTATATGGCTTCATCAAATGGATAACGAAAAGATGTGTTGTCTGTGTGTATGTGTGTTTAAAATTATTAAATCTTATATTTTTCTCAAATTGGCGTTGCTTCAGACTAAAATGAGAAAGAAAATGAAACATAATTTCATGAACGTTATTTCCAAATTTCAATAACTTATAACTGTAGGGATTACACACACAAGACACTGAATTGTTGGTTTTTTTGTATTTGTGTTACATACTAATTAGCGCTTAGTGACATTTCCAAACCAGCGTATAAATATTAGCGTACAATAAGAACTGTTTTTATGACTTATTATTAAGTATGAGCAGTGTCGTTTAGTTTAGTCTGTACTGTAGAGTATTCGACCGAAACCAAAATGGCGGTGCCCGCGAGAAATCCTAGTCAGCGTCTTTAATGTTACTTATTTCGAGTAAATGTTAATTTGCTCGCCCGTCTCCTCAACTGCTTTCTTTATGGCATCTGGCCATTTCATCACAAAGTCTGGCCACACCATCAGATACTATATGGCGGTGCAAACATTATTTATTATCTTTGCTAGGTGAAAAGTAAACATGTCAACAAACGCTTCTTTTCATAATTTAAGCTTATTTTCCGATTTTATACAGTATGGTGCTAAAAACCGGAATTTAAAATCACTGCAGTAGATCAATAGTTATAAATCTAACTTATATCATTTATTTGATCATACTTTTTAGAGACCATTACAAAAAATAATTTACATTTGGAGTATTAATGTTAAAGTTGTAAATTAACTGATAATAAAATATGGCCATTCGCTACACAGGAATTACCATGTTTAAAAAAAAAAAAAAAAAAAAAAACCAGTAAATTTACATTGAGTACTGTTTTGCAAAAATAAATATCAATAAGAATATCGGATTATATATCTTACTGTTCTTTCTTTTTTTTACTATAATTATATTATATTTTTTTATATATATATATATATATATATATATATATATATATATATATGTGTGTTTGTCTATATTTCTAAGATGGGGTATTGCAACTATTTACATTGTTTCGACTGTTGTCCTCAACTTTATTGTCATATTCACAGCGTTCCCAAGGGCACATGGCCCAATGGATAAAAGCGTTGATTGTAATTTGACCCAAAGAGTTGGGAGTTCAATAACTGGTCACAGCAGAAGTGAAAAAAAGCTTGAGAGTGAAGTTGCTAAAGGAGATAACTGAAATACGAACATTTCATAGTGTTTGGATGTTAATCCGAAGACAGTTCAGAGGATTAGAAAAAAAAAAGAGTTGAATGAGTCTAATATGTGATTACGAAAGTGTCTTGAGTGATCACGAAAATGAAGTGACGTTATGGCTTCATTCCTCTTCCTTACAATATGGAGGCCTAAATCTATTTGCCAAGAGGTAGTTCTTCCCTAAGTCAAAAAGAATTGGTTACTGGAAGACCCTATATCTAGCAACAGGATTCTTTTTTTGATTAACACAAGCAAAGGAGAACCCAGCCATAGCTGTCGAACAATTTCTGTGACATCACCCCCTTACATTTGACCACCAAACTTCCCAGACTGCAACCGTCTTGATTATTATGTGTAACACCAAAAATGAACTGAAAGCAAGGATTATGGCAACATTCACCAACTTAAAGATACCGTCCAGAAGAGATACAGATGATTCCGAAGTCGTCTGGAGGCAGTTGTTGAAGCCAATGGCGATTTTATTGAATACATTCACACTTTAGTATTTCAAGACTTATGATTAATTTTGGTAAATATATCTGTTAAAATGAAATTGTTGTTTTCATTTTTGCGTAATTTAGACGACAATTTTGTCCATCGCACGATATATAACTTCGTATAAATTAATGATACCTAGCAAGACCTTGAACATCCTTCATATCTAGAAATAAAAAATTTGAATGTGTATAGGAATAATTAAAGATGGAAATTTTATAATGTATAATTTTATGAACAGATTTTTTTAATTTAGTAAAATATTTAAAAATTTATTTTTCGAAAAACGAAGACCGTTTGTAAGCAAGTAATGGTTTAAAAGGTCATTTGCTTTTAGTAAGGACGGAAGAAACAATTTTCGCCTCAAAAGTGTTGCTTTTTTTCCATTTGCTGTGAAGATGAGGTATTAAACACAGATTAACAGTCCTCATCAAATGTTTGTGGTATTAAAATAGGGTTATCACTCGAAGAATAAAAAATAATAAAGTAAAAGCTTCAAGAGGAAAATTCATTATACTCTAGTTGGGATTGATGTCATTTTCTTGAATTGACGGCAATCTCAACAACAGTGTGGCCAGCTCTCTCCGCCACCATATGAACTCTTCCGAAATTGATGAAGAATTTAACATTCAATGTTACAACAAACTTCAGAACCGTGCATCTGCAGAGAAATATAAAATGGTTTGCATTCATGTTAGTTCTTGGAGCCTCACTAACAGTTCAGTCATCTACCATATTGGAATCGCACCACTGAATTCTGTCAAAATTTTTGAGAAATTTCATTACAGGTCAGTTAGATCGAGCTGTTGCCCTCGTCTTGGACTTTTGTTTCAGTCGCTCTACTTTTCGAACGTTTTTGCGACTCTTAAATAATGGTTATATATTGGTCTATTATTTTGAAGTCATTACTTTTACTTCCCCCATCAAGTCCCAACTCCGCAGTGCAGAACATGTATAGTTCCCAGCATGCGAAGACGTCTGCTGCTTGAAGAGTTGATATGTGGCAAAAGGCAGAAGTACCTACAAGAAGAAAATAAAATGCTACAAAGATTCCATTAAAACCAATCTCAATGTTCAGTAATGTAAGATGAAACCAATTGAGTTAGGAGTAGACCGGAAATCGTACATGATGGCAAGCCATAGTCAATTAATAGGTACATCCACGACATGGCTAAGAAAAAAAAAAGAAAAAAAGAGCATAGCATGATGAAAAAGACGCCAAACTTGACGAAAACAAAATTTTATCGTCTAAATGCTTATGTTATTATTAAAAGAAAAGACCAAAGTTTTTTTTAATTATTTAAAAAAATTTTTTTTTTCTTTTTAGAACATTCTAAATTTTGATTAAAAAAAAACCTTGTTTCTCTTTGTATCACCGGAACTAGTAAAATAACAGAATTTTTAGCACGTTTTTTTTTTGTATGACACATTAATTTGGAAAACCTTGCAAAAATAAAAATAATTGTCGGATATTAATGAAACTTTCAGAAACTATTCACAGAAGATCGAAATTATAAGTTTTTTTTTGTTTTTTTTTATTAAAGTCATGGCAGAAATATTTTTTTATATTTATTAACCTCCATAACTAATTTTATGAAAACGCTAGAAATTCGATGGCATCGGGTTTAGGGATTACAATAAGCACAAGGCTTTGAGGAATGCAAATCATTTTGTTTTAAATTGGACTCCCCTACCTGAAAATCAGCTCTGAATTGTAACATATAAAACACAATAAAACAAAGATATTATTTAATTTCAAATGCTTTTATTTGCTTTTAGTTGTTTTTATGAATATGGACACTATTTTCTGAAAGTAAAAACATTTTTCGATAAAAAATGAATTTTTAATACAATTATTTGTTATTTCTTTAATTATAATAGATTTTTACATTTAAGTTGTTAAAATATTATAAAATTAGCTAAAAGCCGCATCGGGTTTCCTAAGTGTCCTTATGAGAGAGATCTTTTTTTTTAAAACATATAATTTACAATTTTGACTAATCAGAAGATCTGCAGTAATTAAGAAATGTAATTTTGTGTTTATAATTGGGCTGTAATTATAAAGTATGGAAGACCAACCAAAATACAATTAAGTTGTGTTATTTGAGTTAAGCATTGTTCTCCGCTGTTAAGGCCTTTACTTTTGCGAAACACGTGTGGAGAAGTTAATTTGATTTTTCACTTTCAACTGAGAAGGGTACCTACAAGTAGCATCTTATGAAATTTATATGAACTTATTTTAATATTAATCTAAGATATGACATTTTTCCATAAATGAAATATCAAAATTAATAATAAAATGAATGGAAATACAAATAACACAGTAAAATGTAATAAATGTACATAAAATTATAGTATTTTATGTACACTTCTGATAAAATTTCATAAGAAAGGTACCTATAAATTAATTAGATACCTTTCTTATGAAATTTAATCTCACTTTTAACAGTCTTATTTTAATTTCTTTATAATATAATTTTCCATAAAGCATCGTAAACGTAAAGGTGAAAGCTAAGTACAAAAAAAAAAAAAAATTAGAGCGCTGAAAGTTTTCCTTAAAAATAATGAGGTAAATAATTTGTTCACTTAAATCTAAATAACTTCACTTTTCGGCTTCTGTAGAACAAATTATGATCACGT